CAATATATATATATTTACGGTGTTCTTAAGGGACAAATAAGGGTGTTGCAAGCTTCTGAATTCAGGTTATTGTGAAAAAAGACAGATGAACAAGATACAACCCTGAACTGCTACACCCATACACACACACACACACACACACACACACACACACTGTCTTCTTCGCACACACACACACAGCTGCTTGATCATTACCAAGGTAGGTATACTGGCAGACACTGTCCAGGTGCACATGACTCCAAAGTAAACACAAACTGAGCTGTATGTTGTAAAGTACAGTACACACACACACACACACACACACACACACAGACACACACACAAACACACACACACACTGACTTTGTCTATTGCGGTAAAACACATGAAAACCGAAGCATACATTACGTCAAAGCACCCACAGTGAGCAGAGCAGAGCGATGAGCACTTACCTCTGTCGTCTACTTCAATGAACTTAGCACTGGCAGGGGAGGGAGAGAGAGTGAGAGAGAAAGAGAGAGATGGTGTGAGAGAGGGAGGGGGGGTGAGAAAGAGAGTGAGAGTGGAAGTAGAAGGGATAGGAAAATATGGGAGAGCAGGAAGAACAGAGAATGAACAGAGGGGAGGTAGCAGTGTGATAAGAGGAGGAAAGATATTTTTTTTGTTTTTCCATCGTGGCCGGACAGAGGATTAGAATGAAGCTGTGTGTTTGTGTATTTCTGGCGGAGCAGCACTGAAGCACTGAGTTTGGCATTTCCTCCCCAAGCCGGGGCAATGCAGCCGGTCACTATGGAGACACAGCTTAAAGTGTGTTTCTGCGTGTGTCAGTGCACTCTCATGTGTTTTTGAATCCCTTAAAAGGGTCTCTCTCTGTCTCCCTCTCTCTTTCTGTGAACGAATGAGAGCACTACTCCCTCCCTCTCCTTCTTTTCATTCTGTGTAGGAGGGAGGGGAAGTGGGGGACTCCCTTGTTCAGCTGTTTTTTTATTACTGGCAGGCTGTGATGTCATCTCTGTGACGGATTGGGATCCCCTACTTTTCTCTGAGGCTCCCTGTGTGTGTGTGTGTGTGTGTATGCCTATGTGAGTGAGAAGAAAGAGGTTGCTGGAGAGCCAGTGTGTGTGCAGACCCGAAACATGACCAGCCTGCAGATGTGTTGATCCATTCACAGATTCATTCCTTTTTCCACGTCTCACTGAACACACAAACACTGTTAAAACATGCACCATGTTACAGTATGTAACACTAATTACTGGTGTTCGACTTAAGGAAACACACACACACACAAACACACATGAATTCAGTGTTTATGCTGGAAAGAGTCCACAAGTGGAAACAAAAACAAATACTCACAAACACAGCCACATAGATAGTATTCTATAATTGTTTGACCGTCTCCAAGTAAACAGAACAAAGTTCATAGCTTTTCTTTAACATGGCCCCAGGACTGTCTAGACCAGATAAAACTGTTTATTTATCCACTTTGTATTCTCTGTGTAAACATAACTTTGTCTCAATTTGAAATCTTCTATCTTTTTCATAGTTTCCAGTGTAATATTCTATCTGTCTCATATGAAAGTTACAGTCAAAATAATTTATCTCTTAGCTTTAAATGACTAAATTTGGGGTAAACATTTCAAAGCAACATCAGACCTACATTTTCAAAAGAAAAAGAAAGAGACACGTTTGTGACCTCTAACTGCTTTACGACCCTCCATAAGACTGACCCTCTGAAACTTGAACCCCTTCTGACACGAGCCATAAAAAAACAGGTATGTGTTGCAGGGTCGGGCTCAGGCTTCTAAGTGGATGTTTCCTGATTGGATTTAGGCTCAATGATCGTCTCTAGTGTTGCCACATAATGGAATTAAATCTGAACAAAGCAGACGTCAAACAAGAGGCAATAACAAGAACTGACTGGTTTCAGGCTCAGACACCTGCCAATCAAATCAAACGTAGTAAAGAGAAGTTTGATATTTTGATATCTCCCCTAATTAATATTTTTATTTGAAAACAGTGAGATGTGTTTCAAAGGTCTAAAATATGTTGAAAGTGGCTTTTGAGTTGACATTATTTTGTCAAACATGAAAACGTTTTGCCAACTAATGATCTTTTGTTCAGATAATTTGCTCGTCTTCTTTCACAAGAGTTTTGCAGAATTTTAAGCAAATGCATGTGTTAAAAAAACTGTTGATTCAACTCAGACAAGTACTCTCAACGAAAAGAGAACATTATCTTAAATAAATATGAATAGTTGACAAAACTGATTTTAAGGAAGTTAAAAATATAAAAAAATATTGGGAAAAATGTCAAAACAATTAAACATAAAAAACATGTGGAACTCAGTGGCTTGAAAATGGAAAATCAATAAATCCATTGACACAAAAACCAAGATCATCAAACATTTCTTTAAGGCTTTCAGCCACAACGCAGCGAAATGGAAACCATAAAAATTGTGATCGCCAAACACTGTGTAATGCAACATCATGTGCTGTTTGTTGAGTGCATGTATAATTTATGAGAACAGTATAAGTGATTACACAAGAACATCTGCGATATATCTGTTGGTTGAGGTAAACAACAAGCCTTGAACAATGGACGACTCCATTAATGACGGCTGAATGCAGCTACAAGAAACACATGGTTTTTACAGCCCAAATCAAACTCTACGAGGGATGTGGTTACAGTAGAGCTATAAAGATTCCATAAGTTGACCTGAGCCTCACCCATCCCCCCACTTGCTGTTAAATCTCAGTTAAGTGGCAGATGGAACATTTGATTTCCAAAGTCTTTCCTTTGTTTCTGTTGAGACAGCTCACTCTCTTGTGTAATCACTTATCCTATTGCAATGTTGTTGGCAGCCGACTAAACAGATACAGACACCCAGCCACAAACGCATGTCGAGACAGAAACAGGGCTTACCTGAGCACCAAATTAAGAGCATGAAATCATCGGGTGACTCTCTTGGAACAACAACACAGACTGCAGCACCGGGCTCACAGGCCACACAAACACACATCTGTACTTGAGGAAATTTAATGACATAATGCATTCCTTAATGATCACAACTTTGTCCTAACCCCAGGCCTTAGCGTATCCTCAATCTACTCGAATCCTAACCCCAAAAAACAAGATTTCCCCTCAAAGAGCCACATGGAGGAGGAAGGACCGAGCCAGATGTTCTCCCATTCCCAAAGATGTCCTCAGCCGACACATGCAGACACACAAATACAATGTTTTGTTCACAGGCACGCAGATTTTGCACAAGTCCACACCAACAACAGCAAAAGGTTAAACCACGGATGGATGATGTCAGCTATCAAATGTAATTTTTTGTACAGCGAATGGAAGTGGAGAAACGTTGTCCATCTTTTATATACAGTCTATTGTTTAAACCAGTGAAGTATTTGCATTGTTTTATAAAGTAATAGGATTCTGAAGTGAATACACTTGAACCTGAAATTGGATGAGCGATAGAGCTGCGCTTTATGGGTGAGTGTGACTCGTAGTTTCAAGTGCTTTGAGAGACTGTTAGGACTTAAGAAGTGCTATAAAACATGACATCTATTTACTATATCCAACAACCCGCCCACCCCTTCTCCTGCTGGAGCCGCCTATGGTCAACACAGACGAATGATTCCACTCATGTGTGCCACAGTCTTTCCATCCCTGAGCTTTCTGTAAACAAAAATGTATTGTTAAGGTGAGGACTGGATCGTTCCGACTGCGATACAAGGGAAGATGAAGCGGTGGGAAAGCGAGCACAGAGGAACAGAAGTGGAAAACACAATAGCATCTGCAATCAATCAGATTGACACCTTAGGTGTGACGAAAATAACTAACGACTTTAAAATATTTTTTTAGCAAGCAATGTAAATAAAGAAAAGCCTTAGTATGTGCTTCATCAAAGCAAATAGTTTACAAAAGGTAATAGGTCTTGAGATTCACGTCAAGCCTGAAGAGGGATGTTTAGTTGAAGAGCATAAAGAGCGTTCACATACAAAAACTACGTTCAACAACTCTGACAAATAAAATAACATTCACAGCATGAAACTATTTTTATTTGACACACACA